CCCAAAGGCGTCTCAGAGCGGCTTACAATCTCCTTCCCCTTCCCCTCCCCACAACAGACACCCAGTGAGGCAGGCGGGGCTGAGAGAGCTCTTTCGAGGACTGACCTTGAGAGAACAGCTCTGAGAGAGAACTTGTGACTGACCCAAGGTCACACCAGCAGCTGCATGGGGGGAGGAATGGGGAATCAAACACGATTCTCCCAGATTAGAGTCTGCGCTCCTAACCACTATACCAAACTGGCTCTCAGAAGGAGGAGGAGGAGGAGATTGGATTGATACCCCACCATTCACTACCTGAAGGAGTCTCTGAGCAGTTTACAATCTCCTTTCCCTTTCCCTCCCCACAACAGATGCCCTCTGAGGTAGGTGGGTCTGAGAGAGCTCTCTTGAGAACTGCCCTTGAGTGAAAGCTCCTCCCCTGCCTCTCCAAAGCTCTCCAGGGTCTCAGGTTGAGGTCTTTCACATCACCTACTGCAGTGATGGCGACCCTTTTAGAGACCGCGTGCCCAAACTGTGACCCAAAACCCACTTATTTATCGCAAAGTGCCAACACAGCAATTTAACCTGAATACTGAGGTTTTACAATTTGAATGCATAGCTTAAAGTAACGAAATTTTTGGTATTATTAATCTTTTATAGTTAAATAGAAACTATGGTAAAAAGATAAGAGTATACAGAAACTTAAGCAAACTTATAGAAATTCTTTAAATATGGTAATATTTAAGAAAATATACTGATCTCTTTGTATGTTTTGTGTGTGTAAGTGGATGTTTGTTATATAGTGTGTTTGTTAGTATATATTATGAAAAATAATAAAAGTGTACCTTATGGGTACTTAAAAAAAATACTGAGGTTTTACTTTAGAAAAAACAGCTCATACGTTAACTTAAGATGATCCAAACAAAGTAAGGAAAGCAATTCCAAATGCTTTCATTGACTTAAAATTATTTGGCAGAGAATTCCACACTTTATTGATGGTCTGGGCCTGGCTGGGGCGATGGCACGCGTGCCCACAGAGAGGGCTCTGAGTGCCACCTCTGGCACCCGTGCCATAGGTTCGCCACCACTGACCTACTGCATGGTCCTTTTAAACTGGAACTTCTAGTTTTTGAACCCGGGATCTTCTGCCGGCCATGCCATGGCCCCGCCCCTCCCCAAGCAATATCCCATCAGAAGAGTAACCCACTCCAGATGGGTGTAGTCAGTTCCCAACCCTTCATGAATTCGTAAAGTGTGATGGATGTCAAATTCGGATGGATTTACTCCCAGAGCCACAAACAATGGATGAGTGGGCTCGCTTTTGTAAGGAGATACCTTGAGCTAGTTGTGCTTACATTTTTGATTTTGGTGTCGATCGCCGTATTGCGTCAACGGGCCACAGGCTATATTTTGCAGCCGTTTTTGCCTGTTAGCTGTGATATGCAGAGGGGTAGTAATAAGACAGGAAACCTAGGTCTCGATTCAGTCCGGGAGGATGCAGGTGGGGTGGGAAGTGCCACTCAGTCATAGCTGACTTATGGTGACCCTGTAGGGTTTTCAAGGCAAGAGACGAACAGAGGTGGGTTCGCCATTGCCTGCCTCTGCATAGCAACCTTGAGCTTCCTTGCTGGTCTCTCGTCCAAGTACTAACCAGGGCTGCTCCTGGGCCATCGAAGGGGGGCTCGACGCGTTCTGCTAAATGGTGACATCTTTTGTTCCTCTGCAAAACGGCGCAGATGTTTGCGGTGTTGATTCTGGGGCAAGAGATCGGAGCAGCAGTCATAGCTGACTTATGGTGACCCTGTAGGGTTTTCAAGGCAAGAGACGAACAGAGGTGGGTTCGCCATTGCCTGCCTCTGCATAGCAACCTTGAGCTTCCTTGCTGGTCTCTCGTCCAAGTACTAACCAGGGCTGCTCCTGGGCCATCGAAGGGGGGCTCGACGCGTTCTGCTAAATGGTGACATCTTTTGTTCCTCTGCAAAACGGCGCAGATGTTTGCGGTGTTGATTCTGGGGCAAGAGATCGGAGCAGATGGGGATGGGAGGGGGTGGGTGGGCAGGCCTCCGTTGGCCTCCTCACAATCGTCGTTCTGTTTGCCATCCCCGGGAAAATAAATAAGGCCTTGCCGAACAACATCCATCTGCGCTGGGCATGCTTTCAAAACCCCAGCAGCCCTGGCCTGTTTGCACTTCTCTTTCGTTTTGGGAATCGTCGTGTGGTGTTCACCGAGTCAACCCGACGCTGCCAGGTAGCGGAGCCCCGAGCCCTAAGGTGGCAAAGGGTGGAAGAAGATTGTGGCCTGGAGGCCATGGCTGTGTGGCAGAGCATCTCCTTGGGATCCAGCAGGTCCCAGGTTCAATCCCTGGCGTCTCCAATTGAAAGGACCAGGCAGTAGGTGATAAGAACATCAGAAGAGCCCTGCTGGATCAGACCAGTGAGGGTCCATCAACATCCTGACTCACACAGTGGCCTCAACCAGTTCCTCTGGAGGGCCAACAGTGGAGATAGGGGCCGAGGCCTTCATAAGAACATCAGAAGAGCCCTTATGGATCAGACCATTGAGGGTCCATCTAGTCCAACATCCTGTCTCACTCAGTGGCCAACCTGTTCCTCTGGAAGGCCAACGACGGCATAGAGGCCGCGGCCTTCATAAGAACATCCAAAGAGCCCTGCTGGATCAGACCAGTGAGGGTCCATCTAGTCCAACATCCTGTCTCATTCAGTGGCCAACCCGTTCCTCTGGAGGGCCAACAGCAGGGCATAGAGGCCGAGGCCTTCATAAGAACATCCGAAGAGCCCTGATGGATCTGGCCAGTGGTCCATCTAGTCCAGCCTCCTGTCTCACACAATGGCCAACCCGTTCCTCTGGAGGGCCAACAGCAGGGCATGGAGGCCGAGGCCTTCATAGGAACATTGGAAGAGCCCTGCTGGATCCGACCAGTGGTCCATCTAGTCCAGCGTCCTGTCTCACACAGGGGCCAGCCAGTTCCTCTGGAGGGCCAACAACAGGGTAGAGAGGTCGGGGCCTTCCCCTGAGAAGATCATCAGAAGAGCCCTGCTGGGTCAGAGCAGTGAAGGTCCATTGGAGGCC